GTTAGCCTTCACAGTCATCCCCTTCCTTTCTCAAATACGGGCTTCCTGTGTTAGATCAGTGAGAGAGTAGGACTAGTAGCGAAGAGTAAATATTGTCCTCTCTCTTGTAATTTTTGTTGTTTTCAGGTAGCGATTTTGCTGTTTTGTGGGTTTACAACTTAGTGTTCCAACCACTAAGAAGAAGAGAAGGAAGGATACATAAATTAGAACAACGGCCTGAGTTGTTTTGGAAAATCCCCTCGATACTTCACAACCCCTTTTTGGGGGGTAGGGGGGGGGGGGGGGGTCAGTACCGTAACAGATGTTAGCAAAAGAAGTCTCCATATCTAAATGTTCATCCACTATTACCTGTATCATTTCGTGACGAGCAAAAACATCCAAAGCCTAGTTTAGGGACTTTCCCATTCGGTGTTGGAATCGCCCTTAGCAGTTCACAACCTGTTGGAGGACCTGTTGGACGACCTGTTGGACGACCTTTAAAACTCGCTTGAATAGTAATATTAGATGTCACACTTRCACCCTGACACCCAATCAGCAAGGAAAAGCAAACCTAAAGAAAAAGCATAGTTCTTATTAATTAATTTTCAAAATAGTTGTTATAAGGAATTTTTTCCCGATGAAATACAAACAAGCCATAAGGCCTTTCAAGAGTGCGGGGGAGGACCAAATAATTAAAATTCAAGAGGAATGTAGACCTTATTACAAGGTATGTTCTTTGCGTAATTGAATCTGCTGTCAAATAAAACAGCGGTTATTCGCTTAGAATTCGAAAATGGAGTATAGAACAACCTAACAAGCGAACAGGGGTCCATCCTTTTTTTCACTTGTATATTTTTCTACAGTTTTTTATCGACTTATTCGAACTTTTTAGCTACGCCYWAACTTATTAAAAATTTTCTTATCAAATTTTAACTTAGAATTATGAATATTATTACTTTAAAATTTCAGAATTTATACAATGTCCGTACGAATAGAAAACATATATCTCGGCGTACGGTTAATACCGTATGAATAGCCACTGTGAAAACTATATGTCCGGGAGTCAAAATAATTCACCAAAATCACAGTAAAATGTAAATCTAGTCTAATCAAAGATACTTTAGTGTATTTAGGTGTAGATAGTCTTCCTTTTGACCAAATTCAGTTGACAATTTAAAGGTTCTTCGCCGCTCGGCATAGTATACAATCGACTTGGCACTTAGATTTTTCACGTCTCTAGACGAACTCCCGGACAGAATGTCACAAAAAGACTATATGTTCGGGAGTCAAAATAATTTTTAATTTGATTATACGATTTATACGGATTATTATTCAGTCTCTTCAGTTATTAGTATTCACTATATTCAATAATTATTTGATAATCAATATTAATCCATTTGTAAACTTTATCGAAATGTGGAACGTTCGATAAATGTTGGAGTTTAGAGGTCTTAATTGTGTTTAGTTGAATCCCGGCATATCTTTGGCAACAGCTAGTATCGGTCTTAAGAATTTCAAGAGATTTTTGTCTTACTTTTTAACCGAATACTAGTAATGCCTGTCTGATATAAGAACTGTAAAACTAATTTAAAATGTGATGATTTCGAAAACAATAACGAGACAATTGAACAGCTCGATGACAGCCGTCACATCACAGCGAGTAAATCGGTATTCGGCCGCAAGCGAGCACTCAGAACCCATCCCCACCCCTGTCAAATAATAAATCTACTGAAGAATGATTATGCAAAGCTGTATATCGTTTGCTAATTCCTGAGCTGAGCTCTGATTGGCTCGCTACTCCCTTTGGATTTTGGTGACGTCATATATTAGCATAGATCTTCACCGAATAGACTACCCCAGTTGGATATTAGATATCTATAAGTGTCTTCATAGTACGATGGTCTAAGAGGGTAGCTAGGAATGCTCTAGTGGGCGGCTACCCCCTCACTCCCTGGCCTTTTGGTTAAGACTAAGTTTTATGTTCACTCGGGATAGCGTGGAAGAGCCGAAATCTCTAACCGTAACGTAAGCCGATTCGACGCCTCAGCTTCATAGAATGTCTCGGGGGAATCGTCCCATCTTTTTAGATTTTTATTTTCATTATTTCTCATGTATTCCGGGGGGGTACATCTTCTCCTGAAGTGAAAGTCCTGAGTTCGAGTCCTGCTGTTGGAATTTCTCTTTTTTGCTTGTGAATTGTTTCTTTTTCGTTTGTGTCTTGTTTTCTTTTCTTCTTTTTTTTTTTTTGCTCTTTTTATTTTGGTCTTTTTCTTTGCTGTTTTCACTTCGTTTTCTTTTTTCTAGTGATCGATTGTCTCTTTTCAGCTTAAAGGACTCGCAAGGAACGCCTGCTTCAAGTGGATGGTTACGGTTCCGTCACTCAACATCATGAGGCCCCACAATGCCTTTCGTCACAAAAATGATAAAAAATACCAAATTTCCAAATGCATAAAAGGTTGGGCCTAGCACTAGACACAAAAGAGTTTGTATACATTGCATATATAAAAGAAGTAAAAGAAGTTAACAACGGCTCACCTTCGAAACGAGTCGAGTTACATCTGCTGTGAAGAGCACAGGGAGAAATGAAATCGTTTTTTCCTCGAAGATTCGATATCAGCTCGTAATATCCGAAATGAGTCCGATAAATCCGATACCGCTGACAGAAAAGATTAACTTAACTGACTTAACGTCGGTCTCCACGTGGAATGATTACGGTTCCATCTTCACTCATACACCATGACATAATGACGAAGCCTTCCCAGAAGGCCTTCGTCACAAAAATGACTTTTTAGATGTCAAGGTCACGTTCATTTATGAATRTAATGAACGTTTTAATGACGTTTCAATCGGAAGACAGTGTTCTTTTATGTGTTCTTTTATGAGAAGCGAGTCGGAAATTTGTGACAATTTTGAAATAAAATGGTTGGAAAAATTGTGCAATTTGAATACTATATTAAGGATAAATACCACTCCTACCACGCCAATCATATTGCACAATTTTACTCAACCATATCATAAATGCTGAAAGACCATCAAACTATTGACACTATTATAAAGTAGGAACATACCATAATAGTTTTGAATCCCATCATGTGGTTGGTTCACACTCTTGACTCTTCCTTAATTCGTCTTATGGTCGCTGTATGAAATTCATGGAGTATTTATATGTACCATAATCATGGAGCGCGTGGGATAGTGTGGTGAGAAATTATTGAAAAAGTGTCAAAGTTCATTCCATGTGCATTTGGTGTACCGACAATCGAATTTCCTGACATTTTTCTGATAGTGCATATATTTATATTATTACGTAAAAATTGTTTAGTGGTTTTTCTGGATTATTGAATTGCTCTTCCTTTTCTGGAAGGCGACTGTCAAGTGTAAAGGCCATCTTTCTCTGTAGACCCCTYGCAGTTCATGGCCAAGAAGGAAGCTTCCTAGAGGACAAAACAATGAATCTTATAGCTTCCAAAAATTCGAAAAGCTTTTTGTCTTTTTCGCCTGAGTTTTTGACGTCAAATGCAAGCGGGTATAGAAATAACGTCATCACATYTCTATTAAGCCGTATATTCATTGTTTAACCGAACCTTTAGGCGATCTGCTTGACTTGCATGTAAGGGGGAAACCCCTATTACTGCCTATTAAGTAGTCATGGTATTARAGTGCWATACTAAAAGCGTCCTGCTCTAACCGCTTCATCCCTGCCATTCAGAACTCMATCAAAAGAGCACTATTCCTTTACTGGTGGAGCTTTKCCTTTTGCTGCAYTTGCGTGTKGTTCAGTCTAACTCCGACTAACCAATATTTACAATTCCCAATATCTAACCACATTTCGATTATTTCTGTGTCATCTCGGATAACTGTAGCTAACCCTTGTTTATAAACTTAGAGCTACAATACTAGTGCCGATTATCTTCTTCGTCAACTAGGTTRAAAGTTTCAAAAACCTTTTATGGTCCATAAATCGYTTCATGTTCTTGCACCGGACTATTTGCGTCCATGTTACGGAACACGAAGCAATGTAACTCGCTATACCTTGAGAAACACCGAGGCCGGGCAGACCGAGGCCAAGCCCTGCACAAACTATCTAAAAAACTGTAGTTCAGCTACAGTGGTACGCTGCGTTGGAATTCTAATAGCATCTTTGATAGATTATTCATCTGGTAAAATGGTTTTACTGAATGAAGATATATCTTAATAGCCATAAACATACCTTCGAAAGACCTTCTTGTCAGCCTTCTCTCCTTCCCTTYATCCGCCAATTCCCAATGGGATCGTCCAAGAGCATTATGCTCGTTCCCACGGCATYCACTTCCYCTCGTYCTTASTCTCTTTTAACAGCCGCGACTTCCGGTCTCGTCAAATTTCCTTCCCGAAAGGAAAGTTGACGAGACCGGAAGTTGCCGCTGTTCGTCCTTTGTCAAATTAGCCTTCCGCTAATGAACGGYAAATACCCCAACACCTACATCCATTGCACTCTATGGGCTAGTTACTTTATCCATGATAAATACATTTTAATGTTTTGTTTTCAAACACAATACAAGTCCAATGTTTCTACATTAGAGTCGTTCTCATTAACCCGTGGAACAAAGTGTAATAGTAAAGGAGAGACAAAGTGTATGAGGGTGTAATAGTAAAGGAGAGACAAAGTGTATGAGGGTGTAATAGTGCTATTGTTTAAATACTCTGCCCAGCACACAAAATTTCAAATTCATATTTATTAAGGAAACAACTTCAAAATTACAATTTCTGCAATTTATTAGTTCCTAAGCTACTTCACTGCGATTTTCCACGAACGTTGAAAGAACTTCCTGACATTTAGAGAGCTTATCTGTTCAAAAGCATTTACAATAGCAAGCATGGGATTTGGAGCAATAAATGCAGGAGTAGAACGTGCGATAGACTTAGCTGGACCAAATACCCATCATTTCAATGTGATTCAGGTCATACGCATACGCCGGTAATTGAACAAATGTGTTGTTTCTTTGACGTAGAATTGCACTGAGTCTTTGCTCATTGTGGACGCTAGCGTTGTCGGCAACTAGAAATACGGTTTTTTGTAGCAATGGCAATATTTGGTGTTCAATAGATGCAACTATTGAACATGCGACTCCAAAAACTATTCTCCCGTATTCTCTGTTATCGGTTTCGCTAGTGTCAGGAGCTTTCAGAAAACGAATGATCTATTAGATTAGTATTTTCCTGGTGCAATTCTATATTTAAATGGGTATAGTGTTCTTTCTCTCCGAGTTCAAGTCTCATGGATAAAATAACAATAGGAAGAAATTCATATGCAAATATTTGTGTTACTCGTGGATAAAAGAACAGAGAAAGTGTAATAAAGCGTATTAAAGAACAAAACGCTAAGGTGTGTTCCACGGGTTAATGAGAACGACTCTATTGCACGACATTATATAAATAACAATACTGATAACGAACAGGCGAACGCAGATTTTTAAAAGTATCCCCCAACAATAACAATAATAACGATCATTTCCTATCAGTGGCAGTTTCAATCATGTGAACAGGAACCCGTTTGGCCAAGGTCTTTGTGAAAACGGAGCTTTCAGACAACGAGAACGTCACGAGGCTATCGTTATGCAATGGGGCGCAAGTGAGATCAAGTGAACGAGTGMATTCTTTGATGAAAAGAKATATATTGYATGTCATTTCCAAATAGGTCACATCAGACATGCCCACGTATTGTTGTCTGGATTCCCTGCTATTGACATTGTAAATAAGGTTTTGAGCTTTATGTTGAATATTCTTGCAAAGAATTTTAAAATATGATATATAAATTTGTTGATTGTCTTTTATTTGTTTATTTCATTAGCTTTGCCCTGAAGGATATAAACAAACTGGAAAATAAACTTCGTTAATACATACACTGGATATAAAACTACGGTACACACTAAGGCAGGGACACCGCGCAACAGCGTGAGCCAATTACTGCGGAACCTATAGATAATATAAATAGCAAAGCGCRCAATTTTTGTCCTTCCAACTGAATCGTTACAGAAATGAGATTGATTGTCCACGTTTTGTTAATATAATATAGGATATGGCTAGATAAGATAATACTTTTATTTAGAAACTGTTGGCTTTTAGTAATAACATCTTCATTGATCACTAATATATAAATATTTTGATAAAAAATTCTATAAAAATAAAAAATATATGTAAAATTAAAACTGCTGTCCAGAGTGCCGTGTGTGATCCTAGATTAATTAAAGAAGTTGCTGCAGGCACCTTTAAATTCACTAAGGTATTTGTTTGCCTTATCTTAGTCGGTAGGCCATTCCAACGCAGCGTAACTGTGGCTGAAGTACAGTTTTTTAGATAGTTTGTGCAGGGTTTGGCCTCGGTCTGCCCAGCCTCGGTGTTTCTCAAGGTATAGCGAGTTATACTGCTTCGGTCGACACTTTTCCGTCAGCCGATTGCCCATCGTAAAAGATCGTATCCAATCACAAGGCCTCAAATGAAGTAGTCGTTGAAAGTTCGGTAATTCGTTCTCAGACTCCCTAAAATTTCGCTCGTCCAATATGGCTACAGGGTACAAACAAAGTGCCGTTTTTCGGGGCGCGCGTGTAGAACAATAAGCAGTTGTAAGCAAATAGTAGGGTCTATTTACACGATACGTTTCGTGTTGTAAGGATGCCGTAAGCAGTTTGCATGCGTTGGTTGTAAGTCATGTCGACCTTAATGCTACATAAGATCTGCTTGTATCTACACTGTAGCCTTTCGTTTCTGTATTTATACAGGTCTGTCACATGGATTTTGCTTTTCTGTTCTTTTTTTTAAGAACACATTTTGATTTTTTTCAGGATGATTTTGATTCTATTTACATGGTACCTAAAAAAAAAGGAGGAGCCGACGGAGTCTGTTCTTCTAAATAACTGTCCTTGTACTAATTTTTCCCTGGGAAAGGGATTTTGAGGTACATTGTTGACAATCTCACAAGCAAATGTGGCGCCTTTCCTTCTTTAATATAATTTTGTTCCTGACAAACGTTTTTAAGGTCAAAAATGGCTTTTATAGCGTTTTTATGGTAAAAAACGACTTATACTTTTGTTAGCTAGGGAATTTTTATTTTCCTGGCAATAATTCTTAGAAAGTATTCCTTGTCTGGAGAATTATGTTTTCCTGAATTTCTCGCTGGGAACCAGTTTCGACTTACAGCTGGCTGGGACATAAGAACAGATATATTTCTTCCAGGAACCCATTGGCTCCTCTTGCTAAAACACCATTAATCAGGCTTCTCAAGTTATCAATTCTCAAGTTATCAATTCACTTGTTCATTCGGGCTCTTACTGTACAAATAAAGAAGTGTAGAGAGACGTGACCCCTCGGTTTAACACCTCTTTTTGCAGAAGACGAGATCATCTATTCTTTTGCAGTCAATGGAGAAATAGACGCTGCATCATAAGAATTATTCTAAGACCCTAAACCTAAACCTAACCACCACACAATTAATAGCCAGTTGCTCGAAGGACTGCAACAAAATGGCGTCGCTTCATATTGCCTTTTTAGCTTATTTAGTCGAATCTTAACTTATTTCGTGGCCTTAAAATATAAGACATGTTTGCATTAAAGTAACTTCAGCGGACAGAAGGTCAAGAAAATGTAGGTGTGGCATGATCGTCCGGGTTTGAGAAGTCTTCGTTTCGTCATTCAGCGTGAAATTCATCTTCGGTCATTTCTCTGAAGATGATTTCCACGCAGGATGTCGAAACGTTAGGTAACTATAACTCCCTAAAGACTTGTCACACCCAGACGATCATATACCACACCTACATCGCTTACACCTGGTCTCAAACCATCCACTCTCTCAGATCAAGAAAAAAAAGAAGGAAAAAAAATGAAGGGGAAAAAATGAAGAAAAAAAAAGAAGGGAAAAAAGAAGGGAAACCTCGCTATGCTCGCGTCTCTTTCATCGTGTTAAACCAGAGGACCCTTCATATGAGTATAATTCTATACTYAATTCTAAATATATATCTTTTTATTTCATCATATTTTACAATAGTCAAAATCAATACTTTACAACTGTGATAATCAATCCGTAAATATAAACAATGTCAGTGATTTTTCATTTGGGCGCCATTTTGATTTAGTTTGAAAAAGGGTTACATGAAGCAACTGAAAATGCTCAACTGACTTTGCTTAGTCTAAATTTATTTTTTGGTTATCCTAAATTCTGCTTAAAATATTTCTACATTCAATTGAAAGCTAAACTTTGGTTTATACATATTTTTTCACAATCAATATTTTCTAACCGAATACTCTCACACCTTCAGGACTGAACACAATCAAATCAAATGTACCACGTAAATAGTGACAACATTCTATATTCCAACAGAGGAAGCCGCAATTTTGTATAGAAGTGGGAAAACGCAATCCATACWAATCAGCCTTATATTTTCCACATTTTTTTYCGAGGAGGGTGCGAAGGAAAGGGTATGACAAAAAAGCTTGCCTTTCATACACTTGACTATAAATCCTTGAGAAGTAAAGATAAAAATATATTGCAGCCATTTAAGTCTACTTAGCAAGTACCGAKTACTGAAATCACTTTATACAAAGTATGTATATTACTATATATTCCTATAAACATTTGGCTATAAATGGGTATCAGTGAAGTAATGTTCTCTTTTGTAGCCATATTGTCGAGGAATGCTKTCGTTGTCACTGTCAGAATATGATGGCTTGTCGTCTAGATACTGAAACAAAACGAGATAAGCTAAACGTTAAAAAAACCTGTACACCACTTCCTGCGCTATGTCAGAGATTTGGCAACAGAAACTGAGTCGGCACTCAAAATTGCAACCAAATTGTAGCACAAAGTTTGATACATGACCAAAGACTGAGAGTTTCATTGTGCGAAAAAACACTGGATGAATCTCTGGTTATTATGCCCGCGAAAAACGTTGTTTTCGACCGTTACTGATTTTAAACAAATTATTCTTTGGACAAGCACTGTCGAATTTTTGTTACGATTGTCATTCACGATAACATTCCCAGTGATTCAAAATTCTGTTACTTAAAGCCCTGCCYAGGCATAGGCAATAAAAGATGTTCTATTCACGGCTAGTTCACAAAGGAACTCTGTACCGTGCTCACTTTCTAGCTGGATTTTCTTCTGGGAACCAACAAAAATGCAATGAGGCACTAATTATAAATAGTGGCTTTTTCGCCTCCTAATACAAAAAGGGTCTGTTTAGCAGTTCTTACCAGTCCAGAATCTTTGTTGCTGTAGGTCTGTTGTGGTTCATTCCAGTCTGAACTCTCRTCAAGACCAAGCTTGTGAACACTTCCATTGGACAAATCAAGGTGCTTATTGTATCGGTTGTAGCGTTCATAACGGTCCATGCTATCATAATGGTCAGSTTTGGGTGTCAGTCGACCACTGTTATCAAACAAACCYACTTGACTGCCATAACTCATCGTGTTCATATCCTAAAAAAGAAATACTTATTTAGTACAAGAATATTTGKCATCGCCTTAACTTTGAACAACAATTCACAGTGCTTCAGGTCAAGATAGCAACTCCACATCATATGTAGGCCCATGATATAAGGTCATACCTGACCTTATAATGAAAAAGAACTCGATGCGCTTGATTAGAACGAACTATAGTTATACATTTATGCATTAAACGTACTATCGTGCTCTTTTGATCAGCCGAACTGTAAAGGCTAGTCATTGATGAGGGTCTTGACCGCATTTTTGTTCTCGGTGGAAGTGGCTCTCGTTCTCTGACGTAGACTGTGCGATCACCACTTCGCCTTCTGAGGCAAACCGCCAAGATAAGGAACAATAGTAGAATTCCAACCAATGCCATCACCGCGATGAACCAAATAGTCTCATAGAATGGAGCCGTAGATGCTTGACTTGTAGGAGCTGGATCGACCACACCTAATAGGCAAAGGTATATTTTCCATAAATGACAGTTAAAGGCAATTCAAACTAGCGATGACCACTAACAATGCTGTACAGTGCAAACTATC